TTAATTGGGCGGCCACTGGCAGTGGGGTTTCTGTATCAGGGTGTCCGAGCGGGAGCCGCGGCTGAGGTTTGGTTTCGCTCCCACCCGACCATTCTCCGTTCACGTTAGTGGATGCACGTGGTGGAGAAGCTGCCTCCAGTAGGTCTTGATGTTCCGGTGGTGTAAGGTCTGTCTCAAAATCGTAGAATCATGGAATGGTTTGGGCTGGAAGGGACCTTAAAGATCATCTGGTTCCAACCCCCCTGCCATGGGCAGGGACACCTTCCATAGCCCAGGTTGCTCCCAGCCTCATCCAGCCTGGCCTTGACGGGGCATCCACAAACGGACGTGGTTGGGTTTCCTGCTCGCCCAGTGCCGCGACGCTGTCCGGCGGTGCCTCCCTTTCTTCCAGACTCCCCTCGCTCACTCCTCTTCCATCTGACTTCCCCTCTGAAGCTTTCCTCCTCCTGACCCTTGCTTGTGCCTTCTCTTCATCATACTGATTCCTTCACAGGGATCTCGGGGAAGCGGTGTGGCCTTTGGAGGGAGGTTTGTTGGGAACGCATCGCTCTAACTGCACTCTCTCTCTCCGTTTGATTTCTTTAGGCCACTGCGGAACAGATTCGACTTGCACAGATGATTTCGGACCACAACGACGCTGACTTTGAGGAGAAGGTGAAACAAGTGAGTATGGAAAGTGAAGGGGGAACCTGATGGGGAGACAAGATCGATGTCAAGGCTCCCATGAATGCTGGGGGGCTGTAGGGATGCAGCTGGCTGCTCCCTGGATTTCCTTGGACTGGCTTGTTCCTCAGAATGCAGGGAATGGAGTTACCCTGAGGAAAGGAGGTGGTAGGTTGGGCTGTGGTGAGACAACAGTAACTCAGAAATTCCCACCCGCAGTTGCTTCTAGCTGAGAGGGTGGAATTAAGCTGGGGAGACGCCCAAACCTTGCCATTTCTGGGTAGGATTTCTGCTCTGGGACTCAACTCGCTTCCTGAGAGATCTGTAGAGATTTTGGTGGCGCCTTGGTTTGGAAGATACCGACTGTGGTGTTGTCTTCCCTACAGCTGATCGACATCACCGGCAAGAACCAGGACGAGTGTGTGATTGCTCTGCATGACTGCAATGGGGATGTTAACAGAGCCATCAATGTGCTGCTGGAGGGCAATCCGGACACGGTAGGATTGGGTCCTGTAAATCTGGTGAGGCCTAGTTCAGTGTAACTGCGTATTTGGCAACGGGACATTAATGTCTAGGTACCGAGAGCCAAAATCACCAACTGGTTCCCCACAGAGCGTGTAACGTGTGGTCATGTCCTGGCTTCTTATTGCCACTCTCCGGGCGTGTGCAGAGTATGAGTGTGGCCGGCTGGCCCAGCGGAATAGAGAGGAAAATGCAAGAAATCATTTACTTCCTATTCCTTTTGAATCCCAGCACTCTGTCAGCGGGACAGTGGCATGTGGATGCGCTTTCACACTGCTGTGGGCGTGAAGGAGCTCGTCTTGTCCCACGAGGGCTGAGGGCCCTGTGTTCAAGCACAGGGATGGGGTTCCTTTCTGTTAGAGTCACGCAGTTTTGGGTCTCTGACCCCGAACACTGGCTGCTCAGCGATGCGTTGGCTTGTCCCATGTCGTGTTTTGAGGGTCTCTGCTGGTGTTTGCTGTGGAGTTGGGGTTGCCTCATGACGGCGCCGGGCTCCGGAGTCAGCTCGGAGAACGAGCGAGCGCTTGCATCCGCCTGGTGTGCGGGAAGTAGTTTGTTTTGTGACAGAGACAGCAGAGACACGAGTCCTGGTGCAGCCCAACCTGCAAATGTCAGATCCTTCCAAACTGCTGCTGCTGAGGCGTGTCCTCCCAGCGCCCTGCTCTGGCTGAAGCTGCAAAGATCTCTCCAGAATATTAGGCATTAGCTCCTTTTTTCCTCGTTACTCGCCCTGAGCGTAGAGAGCCAGCTGGGGCTGCATTCTGTGCGACGTAGCTGCTCCCCAGTGTCAGGTGCTTTGCTGGCTTTGGCACCGGCCAAGCTCAGTACAGCACACGTGTGAGGGCTCTTCCTTGCCTTTAGAGAGCCCTCTCCGTTGACAACTGGACAAAAAAATCCTTTCAGAAAGGGCGTTTTTGGGGCAAAGCTCTCGTAGCCGCGACTGCGCTTTCCTCCGCGTCCCTTGTAACCAACGACCGCCTCCCGCTCTCGCAGCGATGGCGTGAAAACGCCACCCGGGCTGGTGCGCAGCAAACCGCCTGGTGTGCCAGTGCCTCCTTGGCTCGAGCAGCCGGAAAGCCCAGCACCGTGCAACACAGGGCATGGTGTGAGATTTGTGGGGCAAAGCTCTCGTAGCCGCGACTGCGCTTTCCTCCGCGTCCCTTGTAACCAACGACCGCCTCCCGCTCTCGCAGCGATGGCGTGAAAACGCCACCCGGGCTGGTGCGCAGCAAACCGCCTGGTGTGCCAGTGCCTCCTTGGCTCGAGCAGCCGGAAAGCCCAGCACCGTGCAACACAGGGCATGGTGTGAGATTTGATTTGCGCCTGCAGCCCCTCTGGCCTGCCGCGCGGTGCCGTGCCGCACAGTGCCATGCCGGGGCGCTGGGCTGGTACCGCAGCACTGGGCACAGGCAGCGGCTGCACGGCAGTTGGTCGAAGGGTTTGGAGCTGCTGCTGGCCTGGATTCAGCCCGTGCAGCGATCCCAAAAATGGGGGTTTCTGATAAGAGACAGGCTGGCTAATTGCTGGGATACTGCCGTGCCGATGAAGACGGCTCACCGGCTGAGTTACTCGTAACCCTGATTCCAAACAGCGAAAGAGCTGGCGGGATCTTTTGAGTTAGATTTGGCTTAAAATTACAGTATCCAAAGTAAGTATTCTGCTGAGTTTCCTCCTGAGCTGGACATGTATGGAGAGGGGTTTCAGAAGCCTTGGGTCTGAAGGCAGTTTGTGCCTCTGTAGGGTTTCTGTCACGGTCCCTGCGTGTTGCCATCCACTCCCAGCTGTTTCCTTGTCTGCCAGTTACGTTTTCAGGTGTTTGTCAATGACTTGTGACTATTTCTAATTGTTCTAACAGTGGGCAGCATCAGGTTACGGCTATGAAACCACTGCAGACTGTCATAAAATAACCCCAGGGGGCCCACGGCAGTAAGCTGGGGCGTGCTCAACTTCACAGTTGAGCTTGGGATGACTTGAACCTCCCTCTTGGATAAATCCCGTAATACTTCTCTCCCTGTGAGCTGCTGGTTAAGGGGAGGGGGTTTGCTAAATCTCTCTGCATCCGAGAGAACAATCTGCCCCAAAATACCGCCTGCAGAGCACTTTGGGACAGTTACCTGTCCAAGTAAGTTATCTGGGTTATTCTGAGCGCTCCCCAAAACAGTGACATGTATGAAACAACAGGTTTTTTCCCCTAAACATGGTAAATTTATCCACGCTTTGAACTTCAGTAAGTATTATGCCCACTCTAACAGGTTTGATAGATCTTTGCAGAAATAGAATAACTTGTCCAGGCCTCATCAAGGGCCTGTAGTGACAGGACAAGGGGTAACGGGTTTAAACGGAAAGAGGGAGATGGAGATGGGCCATCAGGAAGGAATTCTTCCCGGAGAGGGTGGGGAGGCCCTGGGACAGGTTGCCCAGAGCAGCTGTGGATGCCCCATCCCTGGGAGTGTCCAAGGCCAGGCTGGATGAGGCTTGGAGCACCCTGGGCTATGGAAGGGGTCCCTGCCCATGGCAGGGGGGGGGGACTAGATGGTCTTTAAGGTCACTTCCAACCCAAACCATTCCGTGATTCATCCCCTGTTACCTGCATGCCAGTCAGCTGGAAGAAAGCTTTCCTTGAGGCTGTGCTCGGAGTAGGCTGATAGACTCTTGGGGGGGGGAAAAATTGGGCTGGGAACCGTTTTATTCTCATTATGGTCTCTGTAGCGTGTTTAAACGTGTGTGTGTCTGTCTGCGTCTTGTGTCGATCAGACTATGCTTAACATCTTCCCCCTTTGCAAACCTTTAGCATTCCTGGGAAATGGTCGGGAAGAAGAAGGGTGTCTCGGGACAGAAGGAGAGCGGACAGACGGAACCCAGTGAAGAAAGCAAAGAGAACCGGGAGAGAGATCGGGATTTCGGCCGACGACGTGGCGGGCCACCGAGGCGGGGGCGAGGTGCCAGCCGTGGAAGAGAGTGTACGGACCTGCCCTTTAATAACACCCCTAACTCTCCCGCCACGCACCCAGGCACCTTGTGCTGCCGAAAAGCTGGCAGTAAAGCTGCTTGGGCAGACACGTCTTTGAGGAAATCATCCTCGGGCGCGTGATGCTCCCCTCCCTGATATCATTCCGTGGGTGCTACCCTCAATGCCGACAGCTGTAAGAGAAGTCACGGGAGCGTTCGGCAGTCTCGGGCATGGCCGCCGCGCTTCACTGTTTGAGGTGCGGTCCTGTATCCTGCGGAAGGCAGGGTGAGTCTTGACGTTGTCTTTGCATCGTTCTCTCTTGCAGTTCGGGGCCAGGAGAATGGACTGGACGGTGGTAAGAGCGGAGGATCATCTGGACGCGGCACAGAAAGAGGGAGACGGGGACGTGGCCGAGGCCGAGGTACACATGGGGTTTGAGGCCAGAGAGGAGCGGGAGTTACGTCAGCGTATCCATCTCCCCTGGGAGGTTGGAAAGCTTCTTCTGTGGGAGGAATTGCCAAACTGAAAAGAAGC